TAGCTAACACTGACGGATTATTTGTTTGGCTTAACGTTTAAATTATTGACTACCCTAATCACTTGCGAATTTTTTTCGCGAGAATTGGGATCGTACTGAGAATTCGGTACGAAAGCACGTCAGGTAGGGCAAAACATCACTCCTATCATATTCCTGACGCACTCACATAAAAATAATTGAGACCTAGTCAGCATACTATTAATAACGTGTTCTCGTGTGAATGATTGCTATTTGATGACAGACTTTACTGTATGCTTAAGTGAATGAAAATAAATTGAGATAGTAAATCCGTGTCTGTGTGCATGTCGGGATGGATTGTACTGTATAAGCCTACAGTATACAGTTTATATGGCATAAGAGCATCAATTAAAACATTAAACGATAATAAAAAAAATATTCATTGCAGGTTAAAGTGCCAAACAAGCGCCATGGTAGATGGTTTAGGACCATCTCTAAGTAGGATTCCTAAATGACCATTTCAAAGAAGGCCTCCTAAATACCATATAATCCGTTAGTCGTTTCTACAATGTTTAACAAATTAAGGTTATGAATCATTAGTTGGAGATAAACATAACACATTTTTATAGAGTCGTTACGAGCAGGTATACACATTTGTACGGTAAACACTATGATTCTGATATTTGTTTCTCAAATATCTCAAATAGGTTATAAATGTATGTAAATCACTAAGATTTTGAGTTACCGTTAAGTAGATGTGGATGCTTACCGAAGGTCTTAACGAAATGCCTACTGGTTTTTCCCGTCGTCTGTCTCTGTAACATGTATGATAATATACAAAATACACGCATATTGTACTCATGAGCAGCAGTAAAACGAAGGAACCAACCACCCATCCGACAAGTTTCCAAACTACAGGCTTACTGACATTATCAAAAGCTGTTGTACCTGTACAAGCAAACACAATTACGTAGCTTAAAAGCACCACTGGGGTAATACAAGGTCATTTCAAGTCAGCTTAAATCGAGAGTAATAGATATATTTAAAATAATTTTACACAAAAAATATTAGGCCTACAAATAAAAAATGTATTATAAATATTATTATATATAAGAAAAAATAATCAAATTATTAAAAATATTCAGGTATCATATAGGCCTCTTCTAAAGTAAATATTCACTTACGGTAATTTAGAATATGATTTTAAAAAAAAACCAAAACAAAACAATAAAAAAACAAATACTGTAACACAACTTATTTATACGTCACTAAGCCATGACAACTGGCGTTAATAACGCTAATTTATAGTTTAATGCTTTAATATAAAATTATATCATTATAAATACACTTCAACATACCTGCGGTCATTTTGGTATATTCTGTTCCAGTTTCGTTTGATCTATTCCTATCTGTTATTTCTGAAACTCGAACTGTAGCCGATGTGTAAAAATCAGTACCGGTAGTTGAGTATTTTCTAGAATTCGATGACATTTTTGACGTCATATTATCCCGATGTGTTGTCGGTTCGTCTGTGTCAGTCTCATTCCTGCTCAGTGTATGACTGATTGAAGTTTTCTTGCTATCTGTAGTAGCAAATGTTACTCTATTATCTGTTTGAGATACCTCAGTTGCTTCTGATGATGTAGTATCCGGACTGGTAGATGTGAAATTAGTTGCTTGTATGGATGAGCCTAAATCCATTGACTCTGATATATGACTTGTGGTAAAATGCGGCATTGTGGTGGACTTAGTTGTCTGAGCTAGATTGTCAGTGGTGGTTTTATATGAAGTAGCAGTATGAGTAGTATAATCTAAATCTGCTGTTGTCTGTTCTGGAGTGGTTTCTATGGTGATGCTGGGACGACTCGACTGGCTTAATTTTGTTGTTATTTCTTCAGTAGTAAAAAAGCCATTCGTACTTGGTTGACTCTTATTACCTGTTTTTGTAGTTTCAAATGGTACCTCCGTACCGAATTGTGTAATATTATTTAGTTTAGTTATTCGACCTATTTCTGTTGCATTTTCTTTCATCAGGTCGGTTATATATGTTACAGTGTTTGATTCAGTCGTTTGACCAACACTCTCTGTTGTAACTGTTGTCAACGAACTCTCGTGTGTTGGCGTGCCTACTTCGGTTGGATTTGAAATAATAGATGTAGATTCAAAAGCAGCTTGTGTTGTTTGATATACTACTGTTGACGATGATAGACTTTTGGAAGGCAATTCTGTCGGGAGGTCTTCGCTTGTAGTTCGAAGGGTGAGAAAATCGTTGTCTGTTTTAATGCCTGTCATTGAATTGCTAGTTTGATACTGAGTCATCGAGCGATTGGTTGTCAAATACGTATTTACTGTATTTGTAGCAGATTTTGTAACTGTTTCATTGTCTGTTAGTGTAAACGGTATTGTTTCTGTAATGTCTTGAAAATTCGTGAAAGTTTGAAAGTCAGTTACACCAACACTTGTTGTACTAGGTTCTGTATGTGAAATGGTTCCTGCTGTATGAGTCGATGCTGGTCTGGTGTCTATGGTTTCAGTTACTAAGGTTGTAATCAAGGAATAAGCAATCTCTTCTCGTTCAGTGGTTGGTGTCGTTTCAGATTCTACATTAGTGCTAGATCCTGATAGAATTAAAGGTGTAGTAACAGGCGAAGATTCAGTTATTGTTCTCAATTCCGACGATCTTGAGTTAATGGTCGGAGTTAATAAAGTTGTCATAAAAGAACTAGTTTTCTCGTTACTATTAGAAGTTAATAACATTAGAGTCATTTTATCTGTCTTATATTCTGTAATAACCTCCGTTTCTGTAAAGATATTGGGTGTAGAAATTGATGTAGAAGTTTGCACAACGTCTGTTGCATTCGTTACACTCTGAAATGTAGTCCCTGAATCTGTTTGAAATGCAGATACGCTTTCTTTTGTTGGATGTGTGTCTGGTTGTTTAGTCGATTTTAAAACTTCTGTAAAATAAGTTAGCAACGTTGAACCTGTTGCTGTTTCAAGAAATGATTTACTCTCCGTTGTTGGCTCAATATCTGGTTGTAAAGTTGATATCGAAAAGTCTGTTAAAGAAGTTTGCAACGATGTATGCTTATCGTGTTCAGTAACTGACTCTGTTCCAAGAGTAGAAACAATAATTGTTGAGGGTTCAGTGTCATATTGTGTGGTAGACAATAAAGATTCTGTTGAAGAAGTGAACATTGTTGTATCTATTACTGTCTGAAAGTCAGTCACTGAGACTGATTCAAAAACTGTACTCACTGTTGTATCAGTATCTGGTTGTAGCGTCGTTTTATAAAATTCCTTTGGAGAAGTTATCATCGTTGTTTCTGTTACTGTGTCAAATTCAGTCGCAACAGAGACACTCTTCCCTGTTGTTGGATCAAAATCTTGCACAGTCGATACCAAAAACTGCGTTAAAGAAGTTAACGTCGATGCATCTGTTACTGTCTGAAACTTAGTCACTGTTTCTGTTTCAAAAGCTGAGACAGTTTCTAGTTTCGTCTGAGTGTCTGACTGCGTTGTAGATTTTATAGAATCTGTAGCATAAGTTGGCATCGCTGTATCTGTTACTGTGTAAACGTTGGTAACTGAGTTGGTTTCACGAACTGACACACTCTCTGTTGTTGGCTCGGTGTCCGGCTGTATAGTCGAATTTTTAGATTCTGTAGAATACAGAATCATCGATGTTTCTGTTTCTGGATAAAATTCAGTAATTGAATCTGTTTCAAATACTGAAACACTCTTTGTTGGCTCAGTATTTGGCTTTATAGTTGATATCAAAGAATCTGTCAAATATGTTATCATTGTTGTATCGGTTACTGTCTGAGGTTTAGTCAACAAATCTGAGACACTATCTGATGTTGGCTCAGTATCTTGTTGTTTTGTAGATTTCAATGCATTTGTTGGAGAAGTGAACATTGGTGTATCAGTTTCTGTGTGAGCGTTAGTCACTAAGGCCGTTTCAAGAAGAGATACACTCTCTGTTGCTGGTTCAGTATCTGATTGTACAGTGGAATTTGAAGATTCTGTAGAATACATTATACTTGATGTTTCTGGTTCTGGCTGAAATGTATTCATTGAGTCTGTTTCGAAAACCGAAACACGCTCTGATGTTGACTCAGTATTTGGTTTTAAGGAATCAGTTGAATACGTTATTATTACTCTATCTGTTACTGTCCCAAGTTTAGTCAATGTTTCTGTTTCAAGAAGTGAGACACTCCCCGACGTTGGCTCAGTATCTTGCTGTTGCGTAGATATGAACGATTTTGTTGAAGAAGTTACCATCGGTGTATCAGTTACTGTGTGAACATTAGTCAATGAGTGTGTTTCAAAAACTGAAACACTCTCTGTTACTGGTTCAGTGACTGGTTGTATAGTAGAAGTTAACAATTCTGTAGAATATGTTATCCTTGATGTTCGTGTTTCTGGCTGAAATGTAGTCAACAAATCTGTTTCGAACACCGAGACACTCTGTAACGTTGGCTCAGTATCTTGTTGTTTGGTTGATGATTTTGTTGAAGACGATAACATCGGTGTATCTGTTACTGTATGAACATTAGTAACTGAGTCTGTTTCAAAAACTGAGACACTCCGTGACGTTGTCTTTGTATCTGCTTGTGTTGTAGATTTCAAGATTTCTGTGGAATACATTAGCATTGTTTTATCTGTTATAGTGTTAGTGATTGAGTCTGTTTCATGAACTGACACACTCTCTGTTGTTAACTGAGTGTCTGGTTGTATAGTCGATGATTCTGTAGAATACATTATCATGGTTGCATCTGTTTCTGGTGGAAATTCACTAATTGGTTCAGTTTCAATGAATGATACATTCTCTGTTGTTTGTTCCGCATCTGGTTGTTGAGACGATTTCAAAACTTCTGTTTGAGAATTTGTCATCATAGTGTCTGTTACTCTGTGAATCTGAGTCACTGAGTCTGTTGCAAGTGATGTACTCTCTTTTGTTGGTTGGGTGGCTGTTTGTAAGGTCGTTTTCAAGGGTTCTGTTAAAGAAGTTAGCAACAATTTATCTGTTGTATCTGTTATTTCGGTCAATAGATACTTTGTCGAAATTTCAACCGTGCCATATGCTGTTGGCACAGACGCTGTAGCAGTATCAAATACGATATCCGTAGGTGATGAATAAGCTGTCTGACCCTTAGTTATTGTTTCGGTATGTAATGTAGGCTGCTCATCAGTTTTAATTTGAGTTACATTATTATCATCGAATATAGAGGAAAATGTAGGATAATCCGTTTTAGTTTGAGGTTGTGTGGATTGATCAGTCGATACTACGGTGACGATTTCATCACTGACCATCTGTGCCTCTGTTAGTTGTCGAACAGTGGTTGTGGAATTCTGTTGCTGTGAATCTGTAGTGTCTTCAGTAATTGTCTCTGCTGTCCTTTCTGTACTTGATTCAGGTTCTGTTACTTTTTGAATATCAGTTGCTGAATTGCTTTCGGTCAGATATTCAGACGCCACTATACCCGTTGGTAATCTTTGTGTTGAGATTTTTGGTAAATCTGTTGTAGTATTCATTGATCTTATTTTGGTGCTATCTATCGATGACGTAGCAAGTTCAGTTATAGTCCTAGTAGGGGTACCTGCTGTGGAATGCGTAGTAGCGTAGCTTGAGTCAGTGTTTTCTTTGACGAATGTAGTAAGTTCAGATTCTGTCTCGGTGCCTGTCTTTAAAAATGGTCTAGTGTTTTCCATAGACATTGTATGGAGCTCTGTTACGCCAGGGGTCAACACATCTTGTGTAGCATTCTCTGTTAATGATTTCGTGGTATCTGAGAGAATGGATATGTTTGTCGTAGAATCAGCTATAGTGGTTTTAGTCCCTGACCAATCTACTAGCATTGAAGTTCGTTCAGAGACTGTAGGATACTGTGTTGTAGCAAAATGAGTTCCTGTTTCTGTCATGCCCGTAGATACTGTAGCACTGTTAGTTTCGCTCTCATTATCAACCATTGATTTGGTTGTGACAAAATCGATTTGTTGTTCAGTATTTTTTGAAGACGTTGTAGTAAGGTTAGATTCCGTTGCCGTGTCGTGTGTATCATTAGTTACAGTATGGTCAGTAACGGTCACAGGAGGTGACGATACCTCCGATAAAGTTGGTTGATCAGATTGAAAACTTATACTAGAAACTGTCTCTAAGTGTGCCAGAAGTGTTGCTGTAGTTGTGGTCGATGTACTTGTTGTTGCCTGTGTTAAGCCAATAGCATCTGAAGCACTTACAACTAGAAAAATAAAGAATATTATTACATTATTATTTATAATTTTATTTTAAATGTGTTTTATTTTCGTTTTATTCGTACTAACCAACAGCGATAACAACCGCCACTAACAGGTTAAAATACATATAAATACAAAAATATCTATAAAATGTTTATTTGAAATATATATATATATATATATATACACCGAAGATGGCGAATGATTTGCCGAAACATGTTTGTTTTGTACCGAGTTTTATAATAAAATTCATTAGGCCTTGCCTATATGGTATTACGGTTGAAAATGATTGTGGTATTATATATATATATATATCACTAACAAAAAATGATTTTTTTAAAATTTAAATTTTATTTATTATTCACATCAAATAATTTCAAGTTAATTTTAAGTGTAAAAATGGATTTATATAAATTTAAGTTCAGTATTTTGTTTTACAAGATGTATATTCTACCGGCTATAACTTAAATTTGCATTTTTAAGATTAAGTTTACGGTGCGCCCTCTGCATGCTCATCACGGAAATTTTGTGCAAACGATAAATAATGAATATTCACTGTTTATGTGGCAGTCTCTTCACCAACATGCGAACATATAGCAAAGACATAAGAGGTTTTGAAAGCTTACCATACCAGGTCACAAACACTCTATTACATTGTACTCTGTTTGTGAACATGGGGTTAATAATTGAAATTAAATTTTTCAGTTATTATTATACTATACCATACCTGATAACAGAGATCAAATAAGTTCATAGACAGAATGATCCCGGGTTCGTATCCAGTTGGGGCTACTTTTTTCACATTCGTACATTCCACTTGTTTGACGTTCATTATACATTATATATATTTATTTATATTTATATATACACGAATAGATAAAATTACAGTGCTCGAATATGGAACATGATATTCTAATATCATATTACTTCAACAAAAAGTTCCTTTATATATATATATATATAGCTCTTGCAACCAGGGCCGCCAATAACGGTCATACCATTGATATTTATGCTTGCTCTCTGGATCAGACTGGGTTGGCGGAGATGAAATACTGTAGTAATTACACAGGGTAAGCACTGTCTCTTATACACATCTAGATGTGTATAAGAGACAGGTGTGTGTGTATGTATGTATGTAATGGGTGTATGTATGTGTGTGTCATATTTTTACCCATTTTGTAATTTGAAAAAAAGATATGTTAAAGGCGAACTGTTATCACACAGTGGGTTGCCTCTCCAATTGGAAACTCGGATTATCTACTTTCAGCGCTGTATGACTACGCCGACGTCTGAATTGTAATTACTATAGCGAATGTGTTTCCTAATTTTACCGTATAAGTTGTACGTTCGAAATAATTATCTTATTATGTATTATATATACATATGTACTTATTGTGTATGTATATACATGTGTATATATACATGAGGGGCACTGGTAAAATCCTTCCCAGCACTATTTAAGACCCTCGTCGCCCAGTTAAGTTGTTAACCTATTCTTGTCTGATACTAAATTTTTTCTATTTTTTGTTTGTGTGTGTGTATTTTAAATGGTTTTTAAATTGTTTTAAATCGATTTTTTTTTCCATTTATGAATATTTATATATAACATGCAATCCAGTGGCCATTAGATAGGACATAATCTGTGATTAATGGATTGGCCGAAAAGGTGATATAGATAGATCTTGAGTATGTTGACGGTAGGCCTAATAGATCTCCAATTCAAATAATGTCTCAAAAGTCCCTCAACTGGTCATGAAGCACTACGATACATAATGATAATAATAATAATAACAATAATCATCATAATACTACTACTACTAATAATAATAATAATAATAATGATAATAATAATAATGATAATAACAATAATAATAATAATATTAATAATAATAATAATAATAATAATAATAATAATAATAATAATAATAATAATAATAATAATAATAATAATAATAATAATAGATAGAGATTAGATTAAGTGACGGAATACCATTTCATTTGAGTCCTAATACTTGTAATCTATAATGACGGTATAAAAATATCCTACCTGATAAAACTCCAAAAACCACCAACATCGATTGGAAAAGAAATCTTACTGGATACATACTTCTGTATTTGCACATTCCCGTTTAAATATTAGTGTTGAGAATTTACAACATAAAGAAGACAACTGTGCATTCAGATGTGCTAAACATAGATGATTTGTACTAATAGAGGCGTAGCGAACTACTCGGTAGCAAACAAATTAATAGAATGGGTGTTGGCAGGCTACCATACTACATCTCGGACTCGATGACGTCATAAGTATACAACTACCAGAGAGTTAACCATTATGATACACCACGTGACAAATAATATGGAATAGTAATTTAAAGGAAGCGAAACCGTATTTCATAATATTAAATAAACACGGTAATCAAATGCAATCAGCGGTTACATTGAAGAACGGGAACTTACGCCTTGTCCAATTGCTCAACATAGAATCACTGTGATTTATTATATCATCTGAGCTGGGTCTATAGTCTATGATTGCTAATTGGTGTATTATAAAACATAGAGTAAGTTATTTACCGGTATGACATATTATTTGCAAAAATATTTGAAGGAATTACGCCTACAATAATCTATAATAATTGTTAGTACCACCCTCCATGTCATCAGGCCTAATCGACAGAGTTCGATTGCAAAGTCCATAATCTGAACATCGGAAACTGATCAGTCATGCGATTGGTATTTATTGGTGTGATAATACAGCATCGATAAGGTGAAAGTGGTATTTACTTGATAAACAAAGTAGTAATATAAGTGTAGAATACAGAAGATTATAGCTTTGCTGATATCGATATGTATTTCCGTTTGACACTCTACTACTCAAATTGGAAGTGTCAACATGAACCAACGGTAGTCATATACAGTATAATGCTAGGATTTAGATAAAGGCAGGTTTACTCTATTTTATTCGCATTGGGTCGTCAGTGTTATCATTCTTAGTAGCAATATGGTGGTGCCAGTGGAGAGGAAGTATGGGCTGAGGATTTCCGTCAGGGAGAACCGGTCTCCAGTCGTGGAACGGGAAAATGCAATTCGTCGACTCTAAAGTCGACTAAATTAGCCTTTCAAAATCCTATGTCAGAGCGGCCGGGGGATTATTCCCTATGCCCCCTTCAGTCAGAACATCGATCCTTCCTCCTCCGACGGCCGGGGACATCGCATCAATCTCTTCGGGTAAACCCTGATGCCTCCGCTTTTTACCAGTTATTATTTCATAATCAATAATTATTTATAATCAATTTTTTTATTGATCATCAATTCACCATAGGGGGCCTACATTAATTTTATGGTTGATCACTGATTCGTTCACCATTCATCATTCGTTCATTCTTTCATTATTTACCGTTTATTTTTAAACTTTCACCGTCCTTCATTTACTGTTCATCGTTCAAAGTTCCCCATTCATCATTCACCATCAGAAATAGATGCAAAAGAGGGTTGGGTTTTGATTTATTATTGAAATATGTTCAAAATCCCATAAAGATCACAATATTCAAAATCTACCATGTTCTGCCAATGACTAATTACCTAATTTGCTAAATCCAAAATGGCTGCCACTTAAATCTTTTGAGTTCTATAAATTCAGTAATATGACAAAAATGTTTTGGTTTTTTTTTTTTTTTCGACATTTCGACATCTATGTTTCAATGTCAACAAATTCATCTATAGTTCAGTGACCCTTCAATTCTAGATCCTCTAATTCGAGAACAAGTTTTTTTTTTTTTTTAAATTACCAACTGATCAACTATCCCTTAAAAGCTTGTAATTATAAGACCCCTCTAATTTGAAACCGTGACCACCTTTTTTAATACAAGAACACATTTCAAAAAAAAAAAAAATTAACCAGACAAGATTTAAACAACAAATGCACCGCATTTTGAAGGAAATAAAATTATTAATTATGTCATCCAATGAAAAAGCCTCATGACTCGCGCATTCTGGCTGTTCCCAGTACTTTTATTTGAGTGGTTACCGGTATCTGACATGTATGCCATTAAATTTAAACATAAAAATTACATATTAATTTTTAAAATCGACACAGTAACGGCATAATTAAAATGTTCAATAACCGAAATTTATCTAATATTATTAACATTATTATTCTTTCTTCCCTATTGGTCTTGATCTTCAAACATTCAATTTTACTGGCTTGCACAGTTTTAAGAAGCCCTATAGGTTTCATGGTACGGTAGGCCTACCTCCTGTACACTCATACTTGTAGGCCTACTCCTCGTTGTTTTTTTTTTTTTTTTTTTTAAATACAGTGCAAAATTTGTTGGCCTCATCAGATTAAATTAGCTATAATAGTGGGACCTGATATAAGGGATTGCACTTTAGTCACAGTGATTTGCACAAAATATAAGAACAAATATTGTTGTAATGCATAATATACAGCAGTTTTGTTCCAGTTGCTGAAACACTTAACATTTTTAACAACATTAATTATTCGGTGTCATGCTTGGAAAGAGGTTAATTCGTTGTTAAAAATTAATGAGTATTCATTTGGTTTCCCATTCTGAGAAACTAAATACAGAATCAAATTCCAAGGAAATACAGTATGATCAATAATTTCAAGATAAAAACGAATGCTTAAATATGAATCTAGTTGCTAAACAATGTAATTGCACTTTGATGATTCGTTTGGTTTCAGATGCCTCATTATTATTATTATTATTATTATTATTATTATTATTATTATTATTATTATTATTATTATTATTATTATTATTATTATTATTATTATTACTATTACTATTATTATTATTATTAATATTATTTATTATTATTATTACTTTATTATTATTATTATTATTATTATTATTATTATTATTATTATTATTATTATTATTATTATTATTATTAAATGAATTCTCATTACCGGTACGTTCCCAAATAATCGCGAAAAACATTCAAAAAAGCCTCTAACTTGGCACCATAACCACTAAACTACCGAGCTTGCGCTTAGTGACTAGTGTTAATTGAATCTCTAAGTAGCAGCGGGTACTGCAACATGCTATTTTGATGTGAGTTTGCGTCAGGAAAATATCATAGGAGTGATGTGTTCCCCTGCAGCCATTATTTCCTTCCAAAATTTTCTTTAATCCTGCGGGCTTCAGGCAATTTTTTTTCAAGAAATAATGGCTCCTTCGGCTTCTATTTCATATAGTCTACTCAAAACCTGACTATAATTGCCTAATATTTAAATATTTATTAAAAAAAATTATATTATTAATGTTAATATGATTGTTATTCTGCGATAATGCGCCTCTTGTTGCTACTGTTTCAAAGGTTTATTTGAATTTTAGCCTGCTCTCATTATGAGTTCAGACCGATTGAGAATCATCAAGATATCAATTGTATAAGGCTGTTTGTCAATAGGTTCAAATTTGAAGCTTCGTCGTTTGTTATTTCAACGTCCTCGTCTCTATTCCTATAGTCAATAGTCTCATCACGTGACTGCTTCTCCTTAGCCAGCATGTCTTCCAGTGGTCGAACTTCGAGAGGCCAATCTATTGTGACTTTTCGCCTGGAATATTCTTTGCAGCCGCAAGACCAATTTCGTCGCTTAAATTTTGAGCAGACGATCTGTTGTGTATGGTGTTTGTCATACTCATTGACTGATTTACCGTGAGTTGCTGACGAGATCTTTTGTGGCTTCTGGCTCATCAAATTAGGCCTCTCGGGTAAACGCCTGGAAAAATATATTATATGTAAACATGTGTATATAAACATGTGTATATATAGATGATAATAAATATTTCAGAAAACGTATATCCCCGGCGGGATTTGAACCCAAGACCTTCCGATTAAAGTTGGGATACTCTACCAACTGAGCTGATGGGTTTACCCATTAGGGCACCGTTTTTCCCCCCTCAAGGTATTGCGTATTTACGCAACATGAATATAACTACGCTATGGAGATTTACCTCCATTGGTGATGATTTAAGATGATAATAAATAAAGAAGAAAAACGGGTATGTCCCCAACGGGATTCTAACCCAAGACCTTCCGATTATCGTTCGGATCTACCAACCGAGCTATGAAGCCAAGTGGTATACACCTTTGGGTTTTCGCATTAGGACACGTTTTATTCTCTATGGATTGCGTAATACGCAACGAATAATAGTAAATCACATGAAAGTAACTACGGCATGGATACCTCCATTGGTGTTGATTAAAGATGATAATAAATATTTGAGAAAAACTTATGTCCCGCATTCGAACCCAAGACCTTCCGATTACCGTTCGGATACTCTACCATTCACGTTTTTTCTCAAGGTATTGCGTAATACGCAACGAATAATATTAAACCACATAAACCATAAACGTAACTATACGGTAAGGAGATTAAACCATTATGCAAGGGGGTTATGGAGTCTAATTAGCTTATATAGCCTCCTCCACAAATCAAATCCAATTGTTTGACGATTCATTATATCTGTATATTATTATATTATATTATTTTTATATGTATAATGTATAATATTATTGAATTGTGGAAATAAACATTGAACATTGAACATTGGTGTTCATTAAATATAATTATATATATAAATATATATATATACATATATATATGTATATATACACATGTATATAATATATATTACAATATATATATATATATATATATATATATATATATATACGGTATATTATAAAATATATAAACAATGGATAGGCCTAAATAATAATGACATGACTTGAATAGGAACAAAACTTTCAATATAACTATATGATGTATAATATTACTAGGCCTATATAATTAGGCATATATTAAACGTCTGAAGTTAAGAATAGTGATAATGATAATGGTAATGATAAAAATAATAATATATGCCTAGGCCTAGGTCTAGGCATATATGACTATGCTTAATGCTCATTATATTCAACATCTTTGAAAAAACAAAGCCTACCTAAATCTGATTTGTGACACAAACTTGTACTCTCGTCTATTGTGTGAAAAGTAAATTATGTTCGCCGTTGCTTCAGAATCTGTTGTATACATTATTGCACTGTGGTTGGCACAGGGCTACGCCCAGCTATTAACTGGTTGTTGATCTTTTTAAGATCCCAGTTATGTAGAAAACATGCAAATAAAATTATTTAAAAGCACACTGAATGCAATATCGATCTAAAGTTGGTCAACAAGCTTCCCAAGAGTGCAGGTAGAAAGAAGACATAGGCCCGGTCTAGCCTAGGCCTAGTTCTTTGTACTGCATTGCAAAATCCAAAGAACATGTTCTTTGCTTTTTTCCAAAAATGACGCATACTAGTGTGCGCGCTTACGCGATATCAATAATATTTGTTCGTTATCGCTATTTTAAGTTTTAAGGTAGAGTCACACCGAATCTGAATTCGGTTCGTAGAACGTTGTCGATGCGCATATCTTGTACGCGCCTCTATTCTTCCACATGAATCAATGAACCAATCGGCCTAAAAAAACCCACTTTTTTCCTACATAAATTATTACGACGTCGAGCCAAAAACAGTGTTTTTAAATTTTATTTCTCTACTTTGTCCGATCA